GTTTACTATTGTAGTTGGCCAATGTTGAGTTAATTATTCATCTTTAATAATGAACTCATTTGTATATGCTTATCATATGTATGTGTAGCTATGGCACAAGTTTATAAGGATCCATATAATTAAGCAAATAAACTGTTTTTCAATGTAAAGATTTAATTTTTAAAGTTATTCATCTCTGTAGCTCCCACCAATTATCTTTGTGTAAAAAAAAACACACTTATTTGTGTGAAAAAATGCAGTATTTTTCTTCAAATAGTAGGAAAGTGCAAGCATAAATTATATACAGCATGTGCCACTAGTAATTACTTCAACTTTGCTCACAGTTACGTTTCACGACTAAAGGTCAGTCGTAACGTACCTGATTTCATTGACTGTATATAAGCTTATCTCATACTAATGATTGGCTAAATATTACCAGTTTTACATTAATGATGGCCGAATTTAAGAGAACCTTCTACAGTATGAACTTTTTCTGAACTATTTGCTATCCAGCTACTGCATCTTTGCTGTGCCAAAAAAAAAAACTGAAAAATTAATGAAATGCTTCAAGGATTCTGGAAGGTTTTGCTTTTACTTTCATGTCATCCATATCTTTCATTGAACTCGCTTCTTCCCTCCTTCTGATCTATTTCATCTTTGTCATTCGTCTATGCAGTGGTCCTGAGTCCATACGGACTGAGCGGCACACTAACAGGTCAGGCCTACAAGATGAGCGACCCAGCAGTACGGAAGCTGATGGAGGAGTGGAGCTACTTTTACCCGATGGTACTTCAGCAGAAAGAGGGAAGTGGAGAGAAGGAAAATGAAGAAGCAAGCCAAGCCTATGATCGCAACTGTCACGTGGCGGTGGAGGTCATCGTAGGTATGGAAAAAGGAATAAAAAAAAAAAAAAGAGTGAAAAACACATTTGCTGGCTTTAAAGTGGCATACAAGGTTAATAAAAGGCACCCTCGGTTGCAGAATTTACTGCTTTACGCTGTGGACTCATCCTTTCAGCCCGAGAACAGCAGTGACTAAACACATTAAACCGCAGCTATGTTGCTCTACTAAAGCAAACAGTGAGGGATCAACATCGCATTGATTACCTCTGGTCTCCGTGTAGACTCCCAGGCAGTCTGAGCTGAGGTATTAGTAGATGGGGTGCTTTGACTGCAATGATCCTCGCAGTCTGTCAGCACATCTGAAAGTGGAAAAGGGGGAAACGACTGGAAGGCAGGAAAGGAGAGAGTAGGACAGGCAGAAAGGAACGATGGGGAAGTTGAGGTAAAAACCCCAGGGAGTTACTCTTAACAGCTTCGTCTAATCAGTCTGATCCCACAGCGTTGGGTTGACCTGATTACAATTAAAACTCCTTTGGATACCAGTGGCTTTTACATCTTAAGAGGAAAGCCTGAAATAATATTGAAGGAGCGAGCGTAAAGGGAGTTCTGATTTGATTATGCTTTATATGAACAGTGAGTGAGAAAGTGTGTGATTACATTAATGGATCAAGTGCATCACATATAATTTATCGCTACGATATTTGTGGCGAATTATCAGAAATGTTTGGGACATTTGTCACTTTCTTTAGCAAACTAGTTATGCAGAGAAAGCCTGGATAAGACATTTACTAGTTCTTTTAACCGATTCTTCCAAACGTTAGCAATTTTTGACACTTGTAATAAATACTGCAGCAAGATGTAAGCAGCAGCCATCCTGTTGTTTCGTAACACTGAATTCTCTTTTTGTTGTATTCTTAGGTGGAGTAAGGATGACCTACCCAGCTGCTTTCGTGCTGATCGCCCAAGGGGACCTACCAGTGGAGCAGCCTCCACCTGTTCCTGCAGCTCAGGGCCTCAACAAAGAGCCGAACCACTGCAGTGTGCCGCTGACACCGCCGACGTCACCGGAGCAGCCCTGCTCTGGTAACAGATGCACATATAGGCACCTGCCTGCAGGACATAAAACTAACGTGTTAAAACGTGTAGCGCTTATACTAAACACCCATTTAAACCACACAAAACAACTCTGTTTCACTCTCCAAACATACGACCAATCTAATGAAATCTGATACATAACATTATATATTCATATATATTATAATATATATAAATTTCAGTCTTTTTCTTTTGCTAAAAATTTCTCATATTAACTTTTAATAGAAATAAAGATGGTGCTTGTAGGATATGGAAGAAGTAAAAAGTCAAGACTGATCTCCTGCATATCTGAATTCTCTTAAAAAAAAACCTGTACTCAGTCCTGTATTATGACATTTATTCCACTCTTCTTCTTTTCAGCTGACAGTGGCTTTGTCACCTCGGTCTCCAGTGTACCCACACCGGACAGCAGCATGGGGATCGCCAGCATCAGCCCAAAGCATTCTGGGAAGAAGTTGACTTGCCAGGTGGTCCATCAAGCCTGGAGGGAGTGCTATCTGAACCAGCCTCAGCATTTGTAAGTTAAACCGGAGTTTGCTTCCTCTGTTTGCTGTGATTATTATTGAAGTGCAGTGATGCAGCTGAGCTGGTGCCCTCACCGATCTGTTTGTTCCCTGCAGACCGAATCAGCAAACTGATGTGACGCCCAGGAAGGAAGTGCCAAATGTAGTCACCACGTGGGACTTTAACGACCTGGGAGCGAGAGCGCCCTGCAGCTGCTCCAGGTACTACAGAGCCGCGCCCAAGCTGTTCAGTTTAAGAGTTATGTTTATCTGTACAGTACCTGAGCTTTGTTTTCATGTTGATGGATCTCTGACAAAGACTTTGCTTAGGGATCTTTAAAAAACGTTTTCAAATTAAATCAACACTCTATACATCCATTCATTTTCTCCTACTTGTCCAAAGTTCAGCCAGATTAGCACTTGGCTACGCAGGTCAGTACAGACATCCTTCTCCTCAGCAATGCTTTTCAGCTCCTCCTGGAAGACCTGAAGGTGTTTCCAGGCCAGATGAGATGTGTAATTCCTTCAGCGAGTTCTTGGTCTCCTCACATTTGGACGTACCCAGAAAACCTACAACCGAAGACGCCCAGGATGTATTCTTTTTAGATATCCGAGCCACCTCAGCTGGTTTATTTTGCAGTGAAGGAGCAGTGATTCTACTCCAAGTTCAGTCCAGATGTTGGAGCTCCTCACCCTATCTCTGAGCCAAAGCCCAGCCATCCTATGGAAGAAACCTATTTCGACCACTTGTATCTGCAACCTCATTCTTTCAGTCACTACCTGGAGCTTGTGACTGTAGCTGTGGCCTGAAATGTAGACTGTTGTGGATACAAGTGGCCGAAATGAGTTTCCACAAGGTGGCCGGGCCCAGCCCTAGAGATAGGTTGAGGAATTCCGACATCCCGAGGGAGCTCAAGGCAGACTTGCTAAAAGGAGCCAGCTCAGATGGTCCGGGCATCTGATCAGGATGCCTCCCAGGCACGTTCTTTTGGGGGTTTTCAAGGGTTGTTCACGTGGGAGGAAACCCCAGGGTATACCCAGAACTTGCTGGAGGGATTACATCCATCATCTGGACTGGGAACGCCTTGGGGTCCCCCACGAGGGACTGGAAAGCATTGCTGAGGAGAGGAACTTCTGGAATGACCTGTTCAGCCTGTTGCTACTGCGACCAGGGGGCACAGGAATACTATAAGGGCTTTAAAAAATCTGAATGTTGAGTCTCTTTATGTGTGAGACTGTAACATAATTATTGCTATCATAATATCCTCCATATGTACGTTCTAACAACATGTTTGAATATCCTATTTAATGGCACTGCAGACAACATGCTGCCCTACAACAGGTTCTTCAGAGGGTTTTAAACAGATTGTTATTAATTCTTTGTTGCAGGTTAAAGCAGCAGAAGCTGAATCTGACCAACACATCAGCTGTCAACCCCCAGACTAGTGCCAACCCCACTCAGTCTTCTGGCCCGTCATTATATCCTGCCCCCCTTCCCAAACATAAAACCAGCGAGAAGACAGAAAAGGCTGACAAGCAATCCAAGAGGCCAGCTGTGATTCCCTTCCACCATCGTCTGTCGGTCACACAGGAGACCCCTCTGGAACAGGACTCGCCAGGAGGGCCCCAGCTCGGCGGCCTTGTGGCGCTGGAGCCGCCCATGGAGCCTCTGGCCGCTCTGCCGCCCTGCAAGTATTCCAAGCCCCTCTCCAACGGCAGAAAAGCCCCTGAGTCCCTTCTCCATTCACCCATGTCTCCGCTTCCACCCACTCTCAGCCCACATCCTCGGGTACAGGACCCAGAGGTTCTGGATGGACCAGTGGACATGACTGTGTGTCCAGATGGAGCCTCGGGGTTGGGGATGATTACCAGTGAGACGGCTGTGTATACAGCTCTGCTAAGGCAGAGAGAAAATGGGGCTGGCTGGTGGAGAGGCTTCAGGACTCCCAGGACTGATAAGACTGACTTCAGACCTCCTGACCTCCCGGCTGATAAACTAGAGGAAGTAAAGACAGAGACAACCACCGAGGGAGCTCCTCTTAAGAGGTAGGAGAGATGCACAAAAACAGGGTTTTGCAAAGTGTTAGATACATTTACGAAGGGAAGGGCAAAGGGCAGAGTACAGATAAAGAGATTTTTTTTTATATTGGACAAGGGTGCCTGAGCCAGACTAGATATAAAACATAAACAATAAAAACTAGGGATTTATTTTCAGGTAGTTCTTTAGTTGCAATGTGTGACACATCCAATAAAAGCACCTGACTTATGATGAAAATAGGATGTATGAGGACACAGAAGACGCCAAGCGAGACAACGAGAATAAACTACTGTTGCATTTGTGTCTTTGCCTCCTCCAGACTCTACACACAGACTCACAAGAGATTTAAGATCTCAGAAGAGAGGATGAGAGACCACATCCACACTTTAGGTCTGTTCCAGCAGCCGGGTGTGGAGGCACTGCGGGAAAGTGGGGATGATCCCTACGACTTTAAGGAAGGAGACATTGAGTACACTTTCTCCACTTCCAAGAGATTAAAGGGTCAAGGGCGAGAACCCAGTAAGAAGGCCAAGGTAGGACAACACGCAATCTGGAAACACACAGCAGTAAGGAGTTAACGTTCAGGAAAAATGCTATGACAAATATTTTTCTATTAACTAAGAATCATATGTTGTTCATCTTACTTCTACCTCCTGTCTTTTAGCCCAGTGTTATTGTTTTCAGCCTGCAGCCTTGCTGTTTGATTTATTCTCAAAGCTGTCATCAGCGTTGTAGCAGCAGGCAGCTGTTTTCAAGTTAAAAAAAAAAACCTCTGATAAAGCCTTTGTACCCAACCTGTCCTGCGCCAAATAGCAGATAGACAAAGTCAGTGAAGAGCTGGTAAACACATTGGAGGAATTATCAGCTAAACAGGCAGATATTTCCCTCAGGAGGTTGCGGAGAACCAAATGGAGAGTAAATACTGTACTTTAATTAGCCGTGAGACCACCAAATAAATAATTAGGATGCTGTGACTCTGCAGGATATGTAAATCAGCATGTTTTTACAAATTTAAATTTCAAATTCAAGGTAACGTATCAGCAAGTCACATTCATGTTTTCATATTCATAGTTGTGTCTGCTTCCCCCTAGTGGCCCAAAAATTTGATGTTGTGAGTTTAAATACAAATTAATAGACACACGTGCACAAAAGTGCCAAAATAACACAATGGTTTTTCACACCTTAGTGACAGTGACATATGTTTGTATGGGACAAATCCAATATGTGACACAAGATAATCATAAAAACAATGCTCTTGTCTTTTCATTTTGTTGATATTGAACTGAACTTGATCTGATAATTTTCTCTTTTTTTAATAATTAATCCACCAGGGAGAAGAAATCACCAGTAACGGTGCACTGCCCGATGGAAAAGACGCTATGTCCATTTTTAACTCGGCTCCAAAATCAGGTGAGGACATAACCACCATCATCAGTTACACATACAGTAGACTGTGTGCATACTCACGAGTAACGTTATGGTTTGTTGTTCATAGATGAATCAGGTCAAGATGATGGAGCTGCAAAAGCCAACCCCTCTCTGACCAGAGAAAAAGATCTGGTGGTCAACATCTCTGATCTCGACAACATATTTGATGAAGATGAAGAAGAGTTGGGGGTAAGACATCATTATTTAAACGATATATTATTGCATATTTTCTTTGCTGAGCCTTCTAGTTGTATTTCTAGCAGACATACTTCAATTAGCACATTGAAAAAGTCACCATATTTGAGTTAACCCTCTGAACCCTCAGCAGTTTGGGGCGACTTTTGCCTGTGGAAACAGAAAAAAACATGGTTACACGTAGACTCAATGTGTTCTGTGTTAAAATGTAATGAATCACAGAATATAAAAAAATGCAAATTAAATTTCTTAGGTTGTTGTTTTATACATTTTTAAAAACTGAATCAATATGTACAACATTTTTCAAGTGCCCACAGCTGTTACCCATTCTGTTAAAAAAAATAATGACTGTGTATATATTATAGATATTTTACTGCTTCCGTTCATAATTTGTTTCCGTACTTGCCTCTCGTCTGCTTCATGTGAACACGACTTGAAGTTCAGCCAAAAAGTCGCAGAGTGTTTGTCATATGACTGAGTCACTAATGGCCTCTCGAGTGCAGAGGTTTTTATTTTCAAAGAATCTAGTTCGACAAAACACTTTACTTAAAATGAGACATGTTGAATGAAATGATTTTGATGCAATATCACAATTTTTAGCTTGGATTTAGATTATTTTCCTGACAGAATGGCACACAGTTATTTCAGTCGGAAAGTTGAAAATCCAATGATTCTTTCTCCTTTTACAGTTTGTGGTTCTCATAAGTGGTGTAATTTTGGTTGCTTATTAAAGGGATAATATGCCTGTCAAATCTGCCAGCGGGGTTTAGAGGGTTAAAAATTTAAACGCACCAGTTTAGTGACACCAATATTAGGTATTAGTATAATTCTCTCATTATGCATAATGCGTTATACTCCGCTGCTCCGGAGCACAAAATGTTGTGTAATGAATAAATAAAACTAACCCTCTGATCTTTTGTGGAATAATTTGTAGACTGTTTATCCAAACCAGCACTCAACCAAGCTCCCAGTGTCAACAGAAGATCGCCCTCTTGGGAAAGAAGGGAGAGTTGCAGTGCCGTACCCATCGAGTGAGTGATGAGTATTTAGTCCTAAGATTTCACTGAAATAACCCTAAGTGGTATCTAAATGCAGGTTTATATATAGTTGCTTGTTTAGTGTGTGCGCGCCGTTATAATTGAATTCCATTAAACATCTGTAAACTACTCTCCTCCTCCTCTTTTTTTGTCTCTCTCTACGTTCCTGTCTCCTTTCAGCAGTAGCAGATCTCCAGCGGATGTTTCCCACCCCGCCTTCTCTCGAGCAGCACCCGGCCTTCTCTCCCATCATGACGTACCGTGACACCCCGAGTCAAGAGCCCCCCGCGCCCAGCGGGACAGCCGACCACCTGCCGTCACTCGCCTCCAGCCAGCTCACTGAATACAGGATGGAGATGGACGAGGGTATGGTCAGTCCCAGGCAGGATGACATCAAGGTGAGGATATATATATTAATATAACATATATCAGTGTGAAATTTTATATTCATGGCTGTAAATATTTAAACCAAAGGCCCAAACTTGTTGTATTTAAGTCATTGCTGTCCTCTTATTTGACCTCCTTAAATTGCTGCATTGGTGGTAAAGCCCAGAAGACCAAAACTGTACAGAATTTGAATTGTAAAAGTAATTTTCTTTTTCTTTTTTTCTTTTTATGACTGAAACCGAAGCCTTGTACACTTGAGCCTTGTTCTCGTGAATATATCGGATATCTTTCATTTTTTTAAAAGGAAAAAAAGGTGGAAGTGGCAGGTGATGGCTGCTTCTCCTTGGTTTATAATAATACCAAAAAATAAATAAAATAAAAATATATCAGCGTGTTTAGCCTTGTGCAACATACAATCAAGGAGAAACTTGAGAAAATAGCACTAAAGAATGAGAATGAAATAGCTCGTGCTGATTAATTACTTTCATAAATTACTTGAATCCACTAAACATTTTGACATCAAAGGGAACGTGGATACACATGGACTTGTTAACCGACTGGCTGCTAGCTATCGAGCAGCTGGTCAGGCTCCCACATGTTGGAATTGTTTCACTAATACCTTTAGTTTGCTAATTAGCTCTCTGTGCCTCAGTCAAACATCTGCACTGACTACAGGCTCTGTGAGCTGGGACGTGATAATTATAGCAGAATGCACTCAGTCACTTTGAGGTGCGTCTGCTTGTTAATGCAAACAGGTCACTCCAAATATGTAAACACATGCAAACAGGACGGAAGTCTTTAGTTTGACATTAGATCTGACTGCTTCTAAGTAGCTTCGTGACAAATGAGTTGTCAGAACTGGACACTTGAAGAGTCTTTAAAGGTTGTTCCAGAGCTTGCTTTCTTTTGTGCCGCATTACTGGTAAGGTTAAAATGTGGCATAAAGGCTTAGATAATGTGTGTTGAATATCTCTTTGGAACAGCTCCTTAATAAATGGTCATTTCAGTAGTGCCTAATACAGAAAACCTCAGATTAGAAAAATACAACCAACAAGGTCTTTATAATACTAGAAAGTGTTGTCTGTGGCGCCTGATACAGCATTTTTCTACTGTGCGGTGGAGCTCCTTTGTTGTCTAGAAACTGTTAAAAACACTTCAGTGAGCCACAGGGACCGCCTTGTGATTGCATTATAATGTACTTGGACACCACAGTTTATTTTGAGTTGATCTCACTGAAACTATCCTCCTGCTGGAAATACTCACAGCAGCACTAAATGTGAAAGATGTTTACTAAACACTACAGTGCCTTTTAGGAAATTAGTTATCCTTGTCACAAAAACTGAAATACACACAGATGACTGGTTTTGTTCCCACGTGAAGTGAGAAAATACTGAGAGGACTAATATACACTAAGAGGACTAATACACTGGGAGCCTGTAAACACCACAAAAATACTAAAATTTCACCATTACCAGAACCAGATACTGTAAAACCAGAGAGAACGGTCAGATGTTCAACTGTCTGACAGCCCTTGATTTACCACATCGAAGGTTAAAATTGTGCTATTCCATCAAAATCACTTCATTCTACATGTGTCATTTAGAAATCTGCTAAAAAAAAACAAAACTGCACGAACCAAAAACAAAAAATTCTCAGCACAACTGAGAAGCCATTTGCAACCAGCACTCACTGACAGGAGCAAAAAAACACCCAGAACCTGCTCAAGTTTCAGAGAGTTAATGGGATCAGCAACATTATCCTTTAAGAACATGTTACTGACTTTAGTTTGCCTTTTATTCAGATGGTCTGTACAGTCTGAGGATGTGCACTCAGCAGATTAGTTAAACTTTTAAAAGCAGATGGGATTCTTCTAATATGTTCACTGTGTGTTGGTCAAAAACCAAAACAGTTCCTCTCCCTTGGTTGACCTCCTTGTAAAACTGCTTTCTAATTTTCTTTTCCTATTTACCACCTTCATGTTTATTAGAAAGATGTTTTGTGGTGTTATAAATAAATGTGATCCAATACCTCCTGATAATCTATAACTATTTCCTCTCTGTCCAGCCACAGATAGGCTCCTCCATGTTTGCTCCACTCTCCTGCCTACCCAGCCAGACTCTACCACCGCTCAAGATTCCCGAACAGTGTTACTACCGCCCTTCCTGGGCCCTCATGCCCAAAATGGAGCATTTCCCTGCGGTCATGCATCCCCAGAATGCCGCCTTCACAAAGGATGGATACACGTGAGTAGTCAGCTGACATATGCTTTTGCGACCAAAGGGACATAAAACTTTATCACGCAGCTACTTAAAGGTTTTATTAAGGTTTTTTGGATGGCTTGTTGGAGCATGCGATTTCTTAAAGGTTAATGAACTTTTAGAGTCTCTAGAAGAAGTGCAGTGTTTTAAGGATGGAGCTGTCAGTTGGTCAAAGGACTTTCCTCTGTTTGGGTGTGAGAAGCTGCATGACCTTTAAGAGCTGCTCCCTAAGGCTAATCTCGTTTGTCCGTCTGACTGTGTTTTTTCTTTCTTTACTGTGTGTGTTCTCCAGAAACGTTCCCAGTGTCAACACCCTCACAGACCAGGAGTATGGCCAGATGAGCGCCACCACTGCCTCTGTGAGCACCACTATTGGCATCCTCCCATCTCCTGCCACCCCACGCTTCTCTGTGCCCACCCCAAGGACCCCACGTACGCCACGGGGCATTAACGCCGCAAGCTCTGGGCAAGGTTCAGTGAAGCAGGATGGTACTGAGCTTAGCTCACCTGTCTCCACGCCCTCCACCAGCTTGCCTCTTAGCTCTGTAGAGCCCCTGGCTCGGCCAGGACCCTCCCTGCCTGAGGCCCACAGCCTGTACGCTATCCTTCTGCTCTCAGACTCCGTCCTTAGTGTCTTCAAGGATCGCAACTTTGACAGCTGCTGCATCTGTGCCTGCAATATGAATGTCAAAGGAGCAGATGTGGGGGTGTACATCCCAGACTCCACTTGTGAAGATCAGTACCGCTGTATGTGTGGCTTCAGCGCCATTGTGAACAGGCGGCTGGCCCACGGCACAGGCCTCTTCGTGGAGGACGAGCTGGATATATACGGTCGGACTTCTGAAGTTGGTCGAGCGGCTGAGAGGAGGTTGGCCCTTTGCCGACGAGACCCAACTATGGGGGATTCCAGGGCCAAGCGTCCGCAGGATGCTGCCCCTGCCTCTCCGCCAGTCATGGTCGTCCTGCAGGAGCAGTGCTCGCAGCCCATTTCGTCCCTGGCATCACTTCATGTCCCCCTCAGCTGTTCCTGTCATGGCCGCAAGGGGGCACTCCTCCAAAGCTGGATGTCAGAAAAGCAGTGGGCAGACGGGAGTGATGCCTGTGTGGAGTGTTACAACGCTTTGGAGCAGGGGCTGCAGTATGTGGACAACCCCACAGGAGGGAAAGTAGATCTAGCAGTTGTCAGAAGTACTGCTCTTCATTCCTGGCCTCACACTAATGGTAAGAAGCATATTTTAGCTGCTAAAGAGGGGATTTAAACAAGTTACAGCTACACACATTCTAGCACGAAAATATGATTTGATTTTTGGTTTAAAAAAAATAAAAAATCCTTATGCCTAGCTGCTGTTGTTACCTAAACTTTGATGTGTTTTATGTGTTTATTTGTGTCTATTATGGTGTATAGAATCTTGCTAACATCTGTTTCTTCTTTTTTTTGTGTGTGTGTGTCTCCAAAGTGGTGGACATGAGCATGTTGTCGTCACAGGATATGGTTCGTATGCTGCTGTCTTTGCAGCCTTTCCTGCAGGATGCCATCCAGAAGAAGAGAACAGGACGGACCTGGGAGAACATACAGCATGTTCAGGGTCCTCTCACCTGGCAGCAGTTTCACAAGATGGCTGGAAGAGGCTCCTACGGTGAGTCAACACGCTCTTTGTAAACAGACAAATAAGCCTGTCTTAGAATGTACTTGTAACACTGTGAATGTCTTTCAAATGATGCCAAGACTAAATATGTCTTAATCTACGTTTGTCTCAGGTTCGGAGGAGTCACCAGAACCCCTGCCCATTCCTACAGTACTGCTTGGTTATGACCGGGAGCGGGACTTCTTGGCACTGTCCCCCTTGGCGTTGCCTTTCTGGGAAAAGTTGCTGCTGGAACCTTACGGGGGGCAGCGGGACGTCGCCTACGTGGTGGTGTGCCCTAATAGCCCCTCTCTGCTGGCTGCGGCTCGGGCCTTCTTCCAGGAGCTCAGCGCTGTTTACGAGGTAGGAGGCATGGTCGGATTCCAACTCGTGTTTGGATGAAGCGATGCTAAAACTCTGCACAGATTCTGAATTTCAATGTAATTTTTGTTCTAATTTCCAGACGTGCCGCCTCGGGAAGCATCGCCCTCTGGCCAAGGTGTCCAGGGATGGCCTTGTGCGCGTGGGGGAAGAAGTGGAGCCAGAAAAGCTGGAGGAGCTGGATGTTGATCAGTGGTTGACTGGACCCTGGGCTGGACAGCAGCACACTGATAATCTCAGCAAACTTAAACTTTATGCTTACTCCTGCAAGCAGCAGCTAGGTGAGAATAAATGAATTGACTAATCTTTAATTATCCGTGTGAATATTAATAAAAGATTAACAACAAATGCTATAAACTTTTCCTTCTTTCAGGCCCCCAGCTCTCAGCTCTGCCTTTGGACAGCAGCCTCCTGTTGCCTCCCAAAGTCCAGCCTCCTGCAAACAACACGTCCTCAGCTCAGACTGCCTCCTCTGGGCAGCCTCAAACTTGGGGCCCTGATGGAGAACAACCTTCAGGTGCTGTCAGTGCAGCTAACGCTTCAACTCCGACCGGTGCATCGTCGGGCCAGGCAGGGGAGGCAACCCAGGGAGGAAGCAGCGATTCTAAAGGGCCTCCTAGTTCCACACCACCAGCCAACACACCAGCAGAAAACCCAGAACTGTAAGACCAAGACCGACTGGGGAAATTACCTCGTTACAAATTGCTCCTCACATCTGAACCGGTACAATTTCTTTCCTCTTTCTGCTCTTTTTCAGCCTGTCTGAGCAGTCCAGAATCGGCATCCCCACTGTGGCCGACTCCATGGACAGCCACGCCAACCCACCAGCTATCGTTATTTACATTGTGGATGCTTTTCTGAGCTCGAGTGGAGCGAGAAATGACGGGGGAGAGGAGGAGGAGGGTGACGAGGTAGAGTCAGGTAGCATTTGGCTACTGGGACTTCTTCGCTGCTACACGGAGATGCTACAGACTTTGCCTGAGACGATGAGGCCTGCACTGGTGCTACAGGTAGGAAAATAACTTTGATTCCCACTGGGCGCCATCAAACAGAATTTACTTGGGATCATCATTGCTTTCTGCCCTTTTGTTTGTATTTTAGGTGGTACCGTGCCAATATCTTCTCCAGCCAGCTAGTGGAGAGAGCCATTTATACCTGCAACACCTACGCTCCCTGGCTTTCTCTTGTTACTCCCAGTGCAGACGTCTGCTGCCCCAGCAAACACATATCAAATCACTGACTGGCTTCGGCCCAGTCTCCACTGTCAACTCGGTACTTAAGAGTCCAGAGGTAAGCAGGGAAATTCATTGATTTGTTAGATTATTTGCAGCTTTTCACATTAAATAAATGCAATATACTCACTCAATACTATATATTTCATCTTTTGTCTTGTTGTTTTTGTCTGGATTTACTCATCCAGCATCCCAGCCCACTGCAGCTGTACTCCCCGCCATTTATCCTCGGTCCAACTCGGCCCAAGCAGCCAGAACCAGGAGAGATATGGGCCGAGCTCCCTCCCAAATACAATGTTCTCTTTGTGGGATACTGCCTGTCACATGACCAGCGCTGGATCCTGGTGTCCTGCACCGACCAGCAGGGAGAGCTCCTGGAGACCTGCATCATCAACATTGATGTGCCCAACAGGTGAGAAATAGTTGTTTGTGTGCACAGCTGTCTATTTAATGTCTGAGATAATGTTCTGATCGCTTCAATTTTCTTATTGTTTTATGTCACTTCAGAGCACGGCGTCCCAAGGTGTCAGCCAGGAAGATGGGACTACAGAAGCTGTGGGAGTGGTGTATTGGCATCATTCAGATGACCTCACTGCCTTGGAGGATTGTTATTGGTCGATTAGGCAGACTGGGCCATGGGGAGCTAAAAGGTAAGTGAGAGAAATACTCAAGAAACTTGTTTTGTCGAAAATATACTTTCTAATGTATTGTACCAGTGGACATGTACTGTGCCAGTTCTTTTTGCTTTCAATGTGGATCTTTGTAATCTCTTTGTTTTCCCAAGTGCATTTGCAGGAAAGAATATAAAATACTAAGCATGCATTGAGTACACAGCACAGTGTTGGCTTCCTGTCCTTTAGTCCTCATACATCTGTCCATGTAATCATCTACTTAAAGGATGCTGTGTTCCTGTAATTCAGTAAAAAAGTGGCAGCACACTTTCTTATTCACAGTCTCTTGCTTTAAGAAATGACAGATTAGTAAGTAGGGCCATTTGTTCAGCACAGACTTAATTAACTCTTCTTTGCACTCATCATATTTTATTTCTAGTTCCCTAATATCCACTTGTATTACTTACAATTCTGGGGACAGACAGGTGCGCAGAGATACTCAATTTGTTTTAAGAGATAAAATGAACTGTGAAGTAATTCACTAGAAAACTCTCCGTCTAAATATTGCTGCTGTTATTTTATTCCTGCTCTTCTCACACCATCTCTCTCCCTCTCATCTAGACTGGAGCTCACTCCTCGGGGAACACTCCCTCCATTCAATAGGGCGCCAGCTGAGGGAGGCTTGCCGTATGTGTGGGATCTCAGCTGCTGACTCTCCCACCATCCTCAGTGCCTGCCTGGTAGCCATGGAGCCGCAGGGCTCCTTCGTGATCATGCCTGGTAAGCTGCACGTCCAACCTCCCTGTTAGAGGATCGCACTAACAAAATGGTTCTGACAGTGGTTGTGTTTATAGCATAAGTAATACCGGATACTGAAGTGCAAAGGCGTCACATTGTTTAGTTTCAGAATGACACAACAGTGACAGATAGAAAAAACAGATTAACCGTCTGAACCTCAAGCGGCTTCTGGGTGTTTTTTCTTCTGCCACATTTTTTTAAAATTGTGGGCAAATTTTTCTCTACCATATAAGGTCCTGCACTTCTATGAAAAGAGCACAACCATTGCTAGAAGCAAAGAGAGCTCAAAAATGTTGTCTGTGTTGTATGACAAAATTCTAATGCTGTAAATCATACCGAAAAACAACAGAATTGGTTTTTTACACGTACAGCATGTCCCAAGTGCCCACAGGTGTTACCAGTACTATACTAGTCTCAGATCAGTTCTGCATAAGCACAGCTGCAGTTCAGCCCAGTTCAGCCAAAAAGTCCCTGATTTTCCAACATGTGACTGTTGGTCACAGATGAGTCAGACGTTATCGTTTGTGCTGAAGAGCAACGTTTTTTTTTTTTTTTCTTTAACAGAATCTGATGAATGCAATTGCCTTTTTAAATGAGATTTGTATTATAATGATTTTAAGCTTAGTTTTGGGTAGTTTTCAAGGCAAAACCTGAAGTCAAACACACATGCAAAATGTGATGGTTCTTCCTGTTTTTGCAGTTTCTTGCTCTGATCAATGGTGTTATATGTGTTATACCACAGGATAAAGTTCTCTGACATTGTATAATTCCACATGTGCTCACCACTTTTTATCTACTTACATTTTCTTGCCTGTTTAAACTAACATTAATGCAAGACATGTATAAATGCACACTAACCTTTCTGTTTCTGCTTCTGCACAGATGCAGTGACGATGGGCTCGGTGTTTGGCCGCAGCACTGCTTTGAACCTGCAGACTTCACAGCTCAACACACCTCAGGATGCTTCCTGTACACACATTCTAGTCTTCCCAACGTCTGCCACTACCCAGCTGGCACCCAGCTCCTACCCTACGGAGGACAATAACGGTACCACTATAAGAGTAGTCTAGAGATTTAACATGCCTTAAGATGTAGATACATTTACTGCAGTGCAATTTTGTACCAACAGGTGGCATCTTTGCGCTTTCAAAATCACATTAAATCGCATTTTCTTTGGTTACTTCCCTTAGATGACATGTTCGATCTTCCCTTTCCTGATGAACTGGAGAATGACATTGGCCATGACATGATGCTGATCACAGGGAACCTTCACCCCTCCCCCAACACCTCTCCTGTGCCCTCGCCCGGCTCTCCGTCCGGGATGGGAATGGGATCACATTTCCAACACAACAGGGTGAGTCAGGATTCAGCGGAAAGAAATAATCATACGGTGGCTCGAACTGAAAGACACTCTGCAACAACAGGGGGAACAATGACATGCCCTGGCACATTAAATGTAAAAAAATAAATAAAAAACATGCTCGTATTTGCTGCATTTCCACGTTACTGTTTAATCAAAAAATCTTGGTATCAGAACTGAGAACTCACCATCAGCTATGATATATTTCTTGCTCTAGACAGCTATTTATTACAGCGGTATCTTGATGGAATGAAAATGCATACCTGTTTAGATTCAGGTTTGATTCTGTACTTTGAAGCATGGGAACTCCTTTACCTACAGTATTATACTTTTGCCAAGTATAATGGATGTAAAGGAATTTGTCTCGAAGGCAAGAGAACAGACGTGTTGACAAGCAATGTTACGCCACATTTCAGACTGTACTGACAACTTACTGACAACCTACTGACAAACTATGGGAACAATCAAAGCAAAGTATACCTGTACGGCAGAACTCGTGTCAGCTCCTTGTACTGTACACACCACTGCCACATTGACCTGTATGAATACACACCATACACAGAGCTGCTGGAAACCTGGAATAACAAAGAATAGGTTGATCAGCTGTGGCAATTACTAACTACAGTAAATGTGCAAGAGATTTCCTTTGAGATATCAAGTTAATTCATTCATATAGCACATTTGAAGCAACAGCAAACGTGTTTCTAGGTAGAGAAAAAGGGTTGGCGTTACAAATTACAATTTAAATCTACATATCAAAGTTAAGACTTGATAGTGTTATTTAGGGTTTGAATTAACTCCAGGAGGTAATGATAAGAATCAAAACCCTACAAAAATTATGTAAAATACAACTTTACTTGATGATATTAAATATTAAGCCTAATATTAAGGAGCTATGACCCAACAAAAGTATGCATGAAAACCCATCAGATCTCAGGATTCCTGAGATTTCTTATAAGCAAGCTTTGTTTTTAGTTTTTTATTTTTATGTATGATATTTTCTTCGATATATTTTTTTAAAATGACTTTATGTAGTTTTATTTTTTTCCTTATTTATATTTGCAACAGTGGAGAGAAATGACTCCCTTAGATAACATAAGTATGCAATATTATTAACTTCCATAACTACCTTAATCTTTTTTGAGCTTTTCATGCATAAAAAGTTCACAGAATGTCGCTTATGGAAGACAGCCCATATTTGCCAGTGCAGATACTCAGGACCTAGATGGATGAATACATGACGCAGGCCGTGACCCAGTCTAACAATGAAGTGTGTAATCATTTGCTGGCCTTCTCCTGCGTCTGTAGAGCCAGGGAGAGCGTTTGCTGTCCAGGGACAATCCTCCAGAGGAGCTGAAGCAGCAGCCGCTGGCTCTGGGCTACTACGTCTCCACTGCGCAAGCAAACGGACTTCCTCACTGGTTCTGGGCCTCCTGCCCTCAGGCTGAGAGCCAGTGTCCACTCTTCCTCAAGGTACGCAAAACACCGCATGTGTGGCTTCAGAATGCCTGTCGAGCTTTTGTGATGGAAGGTGGAGTAAAAAACTTGAGAGATTTGGTTGAGCTTCAAAGAAGCGTATCAGCTTTTTCCGTGGCAGAGCTTCAATATTTTAAACTGTGCCTCGTGTTTCTTCTCTCCAGGCCTCTCTCCACCACCACATCTCCATAGCACAGTCAGATGAGATGGTGTCAGACAAGACTAAGAGGACCCCTCACCCCTTAGACTCAAAGACCACCTCTGATGTGCTCAGGTAAATCCTTGTGTTACTAAAATGAATAATGTTGCTAAATACATATTGAGTGAAGTTTAAAGGATAAACCACTGGGATTTAAAGCACGTCAGTATTTTTTTAAAATGTCAGAATTTCTTGATAAAATTGTGCTTTTTTTCCCCACACACAGGTTTGTATTGGAGCAGTACAATGCCCTCTCTTGGCTGACGTGCACCCCTGCCACCCAAGACCGCCAGTCCTGCCTGCCCGTCCACCTGGCTGTGCTGATCCAGATGTACAATGCCATCCTGAACATGCTTTAGCTGTGTGAGACTTCAAGGACAGCTCTAAGGGACCGATGGTTCCCTTCATTTCTTCTGTGCCTACGTCTCTTTCTGACCACCAGAGAGCACCAGAGCTCTTCTGTTGTTTCGGGTAGACATGGATTTAATGGCCAAATAAAGGACAGGGCAAGTCAGACTATCCCATGTCTGGAATGTAATGAATAAGAAGAGCCAAATGCTCTGAACAATAAAGTCGGTCAACCGTGAAAACCCAGCGCAGTATGACCCCTTCAGAACCGGTTCTGTGCCCGTTCTGGTGCTTCCGCGGAGGGAAACGGACGGATCTGTCCGACCACGCCCGTCAAAAGAGCATCACGGCCCACGTGGACAGCATCTCTCAGCGGCGTTCGAAGCGTCTGTGGATGGCATTTAAAGCTCTGTGTGATTCTTCTGACACTCTGAAAAGGGACATCTGTGCCGGGCCACATAACTCCATACTGTACAACCAGCAAAATGGCATGACACGGCTTTCGATGATGTTTTTACATTTTTGTATAGAACTGCACTGTTGAGCTTCTTGGGACTTTGCAGTCGGTTGCTGAAACTTGTACCTTTACTCCGAGAGGGGCAACCGTCCTCCCTGCCACTCCAGAAGGGGGGAGCGTTTGATAATGGCACTTTTTTTCCTCACCTTCCAAAGTGTTGTAGATAGGAACACGATGGAAAGCATTTTACCAGTTACGACAGAAGTGTTGTTTATAATGTAAGGCATACATTTACAAAGAATTGAGACTTATTTTTAATATTTAAAACGAGAAAAACGAGAAACTTAAACAAGGCCTTTTTTTTTTTTTTTCTTTCCCCCCAATTGACTATTAATTGTCTTGGGATCTGAAATAAAATTTGTCATTTTAATGCAATTGTAAAGATGCCATATTTATACAAATTATATCATGTCATAGAATTTGATATATAAATAAATATATATATGTATATACATAAATATATATTACCTCTTCCAAGCAGGCACTTAATGATTAAGGGGGATGGGCGCCGCCGTCTCTTCAGAAGTGGACACAGTATGAACATTTATCAAAGAAGATGCATTTTTAGCTCCTTTTTTTATTTTCTGAACATTTTACCTTTTTATTTAATGAGTTAAATTAAATTGATGCAGGAGATACAGTATACTGTATATTTATAAAGTGTTCCTATTCTCCTAAAAAAAAAAAAAAAAAAAACTTGAAATGGGCAATAAAAGACCGTGGTATTGCAAGGTTATTAAATATTTAAGAATGATGCTTTATTTCATTGGCTCTCCTAAATGATGTCAAGTAAACCATGAGAAAGGCCCGTCTCCTCAGCTTCCCTCAGTCTGCTCTTTGTTAGAGTCCGAGCATGTTTGTATATACACTTTTCAGCTGTGTTTTTTGGAGTTTCTTAAAAAGCTGTACATTTCATGCTGGTTGGTTTACTTTCAAGTAATTCATATCAAAGTTTTTTTTTTGTTTTTTTTTGGATTGTTTTTTGCTTTGCGCTTTTTTGATATACAGTATACAGTGCAAAAGTCATTTAATTACAGCCAAGAGGTTTAAATTGCCAAGTAAGTATACACAAATGTACAGACAAGGGCAAGTTTGCAAAAATTTGTTACATCTGTCATCACTTTGAATATCAAACAGATCCGCTTTAGTGGGAGAGATCTGTTACTTTTACACTTTTTTTTAGTAAATTATTAAAACTCTTGAAAATGATGTTGCATTCAGTGTCCTGCTTTTACTACACAAAACTGCGAACCGGAGCCTGAACTGTATTTTTCAAACCTACTGGAAGGCAAGTATGCTTACTGAGGTACAGTTTTGAGGTATTTTTAAGATCAAGTAAATGATACCTGCACGACTAACTTTCAGATTAAGTTTTTCATCTGAAACAGAGGACGCACACAGGGTTGCAATGTGTGCTCTTCACATTTCACATTGTCGAAAATAATTCTTTATTTTTACTTAAGTGACACAAGAGAGCAAGTGCGTTGTAGTAAAAGTCTAAAAGCTGAAAGCCTTACGGTTAAAAATTAGTCTGTTTTTTGGGGTGCCGCTATAGTTCACCTGGTTTAGCTGGCATCCTATGTGTAGGGCTACAGTCCCGATGTGGAGGTCATGAGTTCGAACCCCACTCATGGCCCTTTCCCACATGTCTTCTCGCCTACCTTCCTGTTTCTCTCTCACTGCACTATCAATAAATTCACAAAGGCCAAAAAAATAACTTAAAAAAAGATTAGTCTGTTTTTTGAAGATTTGAGTCAAATATTAAGTTTGGTAATGATTTAAACTGTTTCTGTCAATGAGCTATGTGATCATTTATCTTTTTTTTTAGAGGCATAAATGCTGAATGTCGTTCTTCCAGTTAGAGCAACAGCTCAAAGATGAAATAGCGACGGGAAAAAAGTGCGCAGTGGGAACGAGCCGAATGTAACAGTTCCGTATGACGAGCCGGGTGACAAGGAGGTTAAGCCTTTTATTAGGCAGCTCTCAGGAGCTGTAAATCATTCATTTTTTCAACACGGAGATTACATCTGATCACAAGCACTGCAGCCTGCATTGTTAACACAACTAGAAGTGGAAATAAATTATACCTGGCTTTTGAAGAAGAACAATGTTTACTGGCTGCTTCATTGAGCAGATGAAAATAATGACACAGGTGAGTGACTATCACCCGGCTTCCTGTTTGACAAGATAGTCTAGTTTTCTAACGTGCGCTGAGCTCCTGTCTGCAGACATAAAAAGCTGATTAAATTCCTATAGAAAGCAAAGAGAAACAGGCAATAAAGTAAACAAAGTTTGTCATATTAAATAAGTGCTTTGTCCTACCTTACCTGTCTCGGCCGGCATGTGTCGAGTGTTAAAAAAACAAACTGACAAAGGAAAACGCGACGGCCATGACATTAAACTAGAACTGTGCTCACCATGAAGATTGCAAGAAGCTGGAATTTAAAAAAAAAAAAGAAAAACCTACAGGCATGCTCACAGGTCTGTCTTAGTGGGACTGTGAAGGACCACATATGACAAATAGTAAATGCATTTGTCAAACAAACACTAAGGACTTTTAAATTAGTTTATTGCATGTATGTAATGGTTCTAAAGGATGTCCTCTTGAATGGAGATAAGAGCTATGCCCCCTTTTGTGTGATGTAGTGGGGGGAAAGAGAGAAAAAGAGGTTGTGAAGGAGGTTCTATTTGACCATCAGGGTCACATAAAATCGTTGAGTGGAAAACTGCATTTCAAAAGAACCTAGAAAAGCCTAGTGGACAACAAAACTAGACAAAAAAGTCCGTCTTTGAGGGACTGGGCAGCTCGAGGACACCATGAATGAAAAGGAGTGGGTAGCTGAAGAGTAAAAGCCACTGAAGAGTCACTTGTCGTGGTGGGGCTGTCTAATGGCCATCACAACTGGAGGAAGTGGACTCTTAATTGACTGCAATGTGTTTTCCACAGATGGCCTATTAGACCATGGCCATTCACCTGTTATCTGGCTTGCCAAGTGCTTTTTTTTGCAGCCAAATGGCCCACAGACTGGACAAAGGAGGCCAGGGTCTGGTTTGACATAGCATTAGTGCAAACACAATTAGAAGTCAATTACATTTTATGTCGCTTTCCTGCCAACAGTGGACCACATGAGAGGACAAGGTTGCTCACGAAAAAAAAAAGCCCTAAAATTCTGGCTTGTTGACATGAAGCGAAATGTAAAATAATGTAGCTTTTTACTTATGTCATAAAAATGTGTTTAAGTTTCCCAAATCAACAGATTCAATTGTGCTTTTACCACATAGCTGCAACTTTATCTACACTAAGTAAGTCACAAGAGATCTATAGATACACTAAAACACACATAAACCTCCATCAGTGAAGAATGAAGGAGTCCTAATGGAAGAGTTCATAAAAGGCCGTGTTGCTGCCTGACCTGATGCGGCTCTGGTTGGAGATAACGCTTAATATTTCACAATAAGAGAGAAACAATAGGTGCGCTTCAGAGTTCACCAAAATGGCTGCTCGTTATGTAATCCTCGGTTGCTTCACGGGACACGGTTGGCACGCTTGGTGTAATTTAAATATCTCTGTGAGTGTCTGTCTTAACAGGGTTCTGTCTCTAAGTGTGTTTTAAAAAAAAAGCTAGAAGAGAGGTGGCAGCGCTACAGTGGTTCTGTCACTCCAGATGACCCGTGAGAGTGCTCCACTTGTGGGCGTGACTTTGTCAGGGCAGAGCCATGTGCTGTTTTGACATGCCCTCTCTTCTCTAAAGTGGAGGCAGCTGTGGGTTGTAGCTTCACACCGCTTTGTAGATGGTCGTAGGTTGAAGAGGGAGGCGCACACACGTTTGGATACCCTGCTGTCTGTCTGCTGTCTGTCATGGCTGCCTTTAGCCAGTGGTCATATGGCTGATGGCCAACGTGGTGGGTCTGATGTCTGTCTGACCTCCTGATATGCCAGCCAGGTCAGGGAGGGTTCAGGGCTGTGGGTGGTACAAGTCCTGTCCTCCAAATATGCTTTTCCACCAAAACTTCCAAGAAATAATGTCCTGGCACTGTCCAGTGGATAAAAGTTGGATCAGCTGTTACTGTGAAGAACTAACAGTTTAGTCCACTGATGTATCAGAAGTGAGACCGTCTCTAATACCGCCCTCTGTGGAAATGAACGACGAAGCCAAGACGACACTGCAGGGCCATCATCATAAAATCTCTTTGGCTGCTCCATGCCAAATATCGTTGGCTACAGACAAAAGCAAAGCACCGTGTTTGCAGTTGCAGCCTTTTAGAAATGCTGTGTGTATACTGTAGCAATGCTGCTTTCCTAAAAAGTTCCTTTGGACTGTATTACTGTTCACACAGGGAGGTTTATGGAGGTGAAGCTACTTTTGTAAGGTAGAAAACTGAGATCCTTTTTTAATATTGTGACATTTTAAAAACTGTTAACTCCTGATTTCACCCACATGCATTAAATCATTTCTTCTTCTTCTTCTTCTTCTTCTTCTTATATATATAATAATAATAAGCATACTACTACTACTACTAATAATAATAATAATATTCATGTATTTTTTAAAGGGTCAAATCACCAATGAGCTGGTGTTTAAAAAAATAAAATAAAAGAGAATTGTTATCCACATAAGTGCAGACTGCATCTGACCGACATAAGCAAGTAATGACATAAAACTGCATCAGCTTTCCCTTTTAGCAACATATGTTTGGTCTGCAGTCCTTATCTGGACGTGTCAGGGTGACACCAGGTGAACGTTCCATTTTGTTTTCCATTTAAAACGATAAACTGAAGCACCTTGAGAGCCACTGATGTAATAATTACCAATACCTGTAGCACCTGTCTAATATTAGCCAGCTTTGCCTCACGTTAACATTTAGTTAATATTTCTATGTGTGATGCTAATCTTTAATGTAGCACAACATCACGCAAAAATGTAAGAAAAGGTGATGCACATGTGTTGGCACTCGCACCAGTACATCTACACAAGATGGCGCATCGTATTTCACTTTTGCGAGGTTCTAAGACCCGCTTTGATTACTGATGTTTGCCTCCAGCCGGATGCAATAAGAGTGAAACAGATTTTCTAATGTGCAAAGCAATGAAAAAAAATATAATAAATCTCAACAGATGATGATGTGTTTGCAGAAAAATGCCTTTGTTCGTGCACATAATTACAGTAATCAAGTGCCTTGGCCTTCAGATACTGTACTAAAGTTTTCATTTTAGATTTGGTCTAATAGGGCTGCTATCCATCTACATTTTAATAATGGGAGGAAATGCGCAAATATCAATATTTCTCCTCCCAACATCAACAGTGGACCTCGGTTGCCATTATTAGGCCATCAGTATTCATTTCAATTAGTGCCCTCGCTTGCCCGTGCTCCTGAGCTCGGCCAGCTCCAGCCAAGCAGCTCCTCAGCCATCTTCCAGATGGCTCCAAGGAAATTCAGCTCTTGGCACAGCTTACACTCAACGCAGAGAGCCATCGACAGCTTTTGTTTAAAGGGTCCCTGCTGAAGCGACAGAACATCTGCCAACTCAGCACGGCAGCCTGTTAGAAAACATCTGATTTTGTCTGGCAGTGCTTTCCATCTCCAGCCTTTTGCATTTGCATAAATAGTTTTTGTTAGAAGGGGGGCCTCCAAAAAGGAGCAC